CATGGGACACGGAAACAGTTCGCGAGAAGAAGATGGCGCTATTGTGCGGAGGCCACTCCTGCAACATTAAGAAGCCATCAAGGCCTCGCCAGGGCTTCCGCTCGCACAACATACGCTGCCCTGTGTCCTCACTTCGCACTGTGTCTGCTGCACTTTCACCTCCCTCTCCATTATATCACACTGCTGCTGCAGCACGTCGCATTGTCTCTTGCTCGCCCTGTCCACGGAATCCGCAATGACGGTAGAGTGTGCGTTCATCACATCGGTGACCTCCTCGAATGCCTGTTGGCGTGCGTTTTTCCTTTTCAAAAATTAAAAACCTCCGGATGATCTGCTTCCTGATCCCTCCCCCCTGCCTGTCTCCTCATTCTCGCTCGCAGAAGTTTCTCCCCCACCACCGTTTCCCCCTCCTTGCAGCTGAGACACGCCGGTATCCACCAGATTTGGTGGGTGAATGGTCTGGTTGCCATGCTGGCCCGCATCGATCGCCTCGAACAGACGGCGATCCATTTGGAACTTATACCCTTGCTCGTTTCGCTGCTTTGGCGTGAGAGTGAAGAAAGATTGCTTGCCTGACTCCTCTCTCAACTGCACTTTCTTGTACCACGAGAAGATATTCTCCCACCGTTTCATACACTGGTCCCAATCTCTCTTCAACCCCAACGCGCCCATGCGGTTGGCGACGTCCGTCCATTTCCATTCTTTGTTCTTCATGCACATGAAGTTGTGTCCAGCGGCCTCCAAGGCCTCGTCTTGATCCCGCTTACAACGGACAAGAGTGAGGGAATCGTCCAGATTCCATATAGTCCGCCCTTCGCTGCCCGCCTTCCCTTTACCCCACCCCTTCAAAGTCGCTTTCTTCGCAGGTGTCTTCTTGCGGCCGCTTGAAGGCGGGGGAACTTCGTCCTCCATCTCCTCTTCCTCTTCTTTCTCCTCCTCTACTTCATTCACGTCTTCACACATGTCGTCAACCCTGCCCTCCCCACCTCCGTCACCATCACTTGTCGCACGCATTGTGGACACACGTGCAATGATGTGTTCCACCACATTCGCCTCTCTGCTCTCCGCTCGCCCCCCCGTCGTTGCAGCGGTCCCCCGACCACCGCCGGGAACTCTCGCGAGTGGCCCGCCCACTCCGCCGTTATTCAATGGAAACGCCGGCTGCTGCACCCCGACAGTGATCGATCGCCGTCCCTCGCACCTGATCGAGGGCTCGCCTTGAGATAGGCCACTGGGATTGACCAGCAAAGTTCTCTATGGTCGCTTGCCCCCCAGATGATAGCTGCAGTTCGAGAGGCGGTCCCATGCCCTGCTGCTGTCCATGCATCAGGAGAGATGTCATGGGTCCCTGCCGCTGGCGAAGATCTGGTCGTTGCATCCCACAGTCAGAGATGGACTGCGTCGATCCGTACGCCAGGGGGACGGTAGACGATGGTGGTTCCCATGACTCGTCTTCAGGCAGTGGCTGTTGCCACGACAACAGGTGCACATACAGGGCTGGGTCGAAACAGGGCATGCCCGGCGACCGTTGATCGCCCCCACCGCCCATTCCGTACAAGAACTGCTTGCGCCTGTCACTGCCTGCCATGCGTCCTTTTTCCCCGGACTGCTTAACCACTTTCGTCGTTTTCTGCCTCCAAGGCAGATGACGGAGCCGCAGCAATGAGCAGAAGTGCACTAGGACAATGACGAGCAGGACGAGGAGGAGGAGACAGAGTAAAATCAACTTCCTCACGTGGTTGGCCATGCAAGTGCTCGCAGAGCGAAGTAGGAGGCAATGTCGACAGTGTGGCTCCGGAGTTGAGGGTTGGCACACGTGATACTGGCTGACTTCCCGTTGTCTTGTAGTACAGACGACAGCACTCACGCTGTCGTGTACACCCCAACTGACCACCGCCCACCCCTCCCAACCCCGGCCCTTCCCCTCCCTCCGCACACGAACTTTTGAATTTAAAAAAACGGTAACCGCCCAACGAACTTCGGTAGCGCGGCAACGACCTCAAATGCCCACGGTACCGCCGCCGGGACAACGACTTTAAACGACCGCGGTACCACTGCTTCTACCGGACACCACCAATGTTACATGCCCAGTTGGGCGATGTACATAAGAACCGAGGATCCACAATGTGATAAAAAGGACCGAATGGACAATGCAGTGCAAGTGGAATCTCAACAAGCAATGTGCATTCTGATACATACAAAATGGTGCTTTATAGCGCAGGGAAGACTTAGATACAGATCCTGACCTGACCAGGACTGACCCCTGTCACGTAGTACAAGATAGCGAAGCAGAATGCTAGAATACTAATGACTAGCCCAATCAATGTTTCAACGCAAACCAAACATACATCATGCTCATCACAAGGTGTGAAGGAGCCTGGCGCTATACACAGGAAGGAAGCGCCAGGTCCAGACATACACAGACGATGAGGAGGGGATCAGTCGAAGAAGAGGGGGAGAGATGGGAATGTCGTCAACACCAAGTCTTTGTCACAAGTCCCAAATAATCCCTCGTCGAAATGTCTGAAGCCCAAAAGTCGAGTCTGGATCCAATGTCACCAAGCTCTCTCCCTCTTTCTCTCGTAGTCTGCTGATGCAGTGAAGTCAGATAGTGAGAGGGTGAGAGGGAGATGGTGGACTGAGAAGAGGAAGAAGAAGAACTCTCTCTCTCGCATGTCAGGTACTAACCTGTGAAGATGGCGCTGTGCTGCAGGTACCTCGAAGACCAAGTTGGAGCAACGGCACTGCAGGTAAGTATCCCTGGCCTCCGCCCAATCTCTCTCTCTCCAGTACTACTCTAGCTATGGCGCCCAGCGCCGAAGACTACAGCTAACGCTACTAGGGCCCAGCGCTGAAGACTACTGCTAACGCTACTATACTCCTGCAGCGCTCCTCCAGAGTGCTGCTGCCGAATCCTGAAGACTACGGACTGCCTCCTCCTCCCCGTTAAGTGCATGGGAAGCCCTATGTACTACCTCGGTCTGCCTCCTGACTGCCTCCGACTGCCTGCAGTTGCAGGGCGGGCAGTCCAGGAGGCTGCTCTTGCCAATGCCGAACTGAGCCAGGGGCTGGCGCTGCAGCTGTCGTGGGAACAGGCCAAAAATAGCCTGTTCCCAAAACCCTGGTTCGGTGCCTGAGTTTCAGGGCAGGTATGACAGACCGAAAATGGCCCTTCGTTTCAGGCTAAAAAGGCTACTGCCATTTTTAATCTGAAACGACACAGGGTCTGTAGACCCCTGTTTTTCAGGCTTTCGAGCTGAACAGACACGGGGCCTGTAGGCCCTGGTTTTCAGGCTTTCAGCCTGAGGGACGCAGGGCCTGGAAAATGGCCCTCGTGTGCAGGCGCAGCATGTAACACCAACGAAAGGTTTGCAGATCTACTCGTGGCCACAAACGAAAACCAGCCGTGGACCTGGAACACTCGAAAATTAACATGAAAAAAAAAAAAAACGAACAAAGTACCCGGTTTCTGTGGCTGTCGTAAGGGTCCGCTCTTGAACTCAAGGTACCTCAGGAGGTGACTTGAGTTCAAGTGTGATTTTGCCTGTGTTGCCCTTGAGTTTCGAGGGCGCGCCCTTGGGAGGCAAAAATGTGAAAACAGAGCGGGTCGCTCTAAGGGGGGGGTGGAACGATGATTTTTTGCGTCGCTCTTGAACTCAAGTGGTGTGGAACGAGGCTCTATGAGGGACGCTGAGCCCGGTTCTCAGCAAGTTCGGTTCTGTCACTCCAGGTAGACTGTGAGAACCCCGGCCTCAATCTTCTTATTTGTAATATCAGCCTTGGGCACTGGGCCCCTTGTAAAAAAAAAAAAAAAAAAAAAAAAAAAAAAAAAAAAAAAAAAAAAGCTTCTCTGAACACTTATCCAAAACGTTATCCGAATCCGATCCGCACCTGATTGGAACGTCATCCGAACCCGATACGATCCGAAGTGTATCCAAACCATATCCGAACCTGATGCGAATGTTATCGAGACCATATACGAACCTCAGCTTAACCTTATCCAAAACCTGATTCTAACTTAATCCAAACCTTGTCTGCACCTGGTCCGAAACTGATTCCAAATCAGATCCGATCTGAAGCTTATCCGAACCATATCCGAAGCCGATGCGAACACTATCGAAACATTGTCCGCCGAACCTTATCCGAACGTTATCCGAACCTTATCGGAAGTGATCCGTACCTTATCCGAAGCCTATATCTGAATCGTATTTGAATGAGATCTGGATGGGACCTCATCTCTGCTCATAGCTGCTTCCACCCGAGCTGAAGTGGTGTGTTGTGCGGCGCATAGGTGTACAGCAGGCAAGGTAGTTTCGTGTGCGCTAATGGCGAGGCAGTCCTGCCTAGTTGGTTGCCACGTGGAATCCACGTGTTCGATTGGTAGTCCACACCCTAAAAGCCTTCCGCGATCTCCACTCTCTTCTAGTTCGCCACGTCATCACGCTCCGTTTTCTGTTAAAGGAAATCCCCAAGGCCCAGTCGGCACGTGCGTTCGCAGCAGACGAATATACGGCTGAATATGCGCCCTACCCCTTCTTCCCCCGAATACAACGTACGTTCATTATGCCTGTATTTTTTGGGGTATCTTTCAGTCCAAATACAGCTATAATGACCGTACGTTGTATTCGGGGGAAGAAGGGTAGTTACCCCAATTTATTTTTTTTTTCTACGCGAAAACCTGATGAATGGAATATACGACACGATCAGCAAGTCACGATCTTGCCTGTGTGTGCGTGTTGGGAAGTTGCACCGCGTGTGACGCGAAGCTGCCAACGGTCTGGATCGTGTGCAGGCAAGCAAGCTTTGGCTGTTCTTTTCTTTGCTTGCAAGCTTTTTTCTCTTTGGTTGCATAGTTCTAGATCCTGTGCAGCTTTGGCTGTTCTTTTCTTCGCTTGCAAGCTTTTTTTTCCTTTGGTTGCATAGTTCTAGATCCTGTGCAGCTTTGGCTGTTCTTTTCTGGACCGAGTGATGAAGTGATTGGTCTGCTGAGTCAGCAAAATGGATTTCTTATTCTTTTCTCTTAGCGAAAGGATGTTCTTTTGCGTGCAGGCAGGCGATGCTATCGTTCTGGGAGACAACAGAGTGGCAGACACTTGATTGTTGTTGTTGGTCTGTGAATTGAAGTTTGGAAGTAAAAGATAAAAACAGAAAAGAGGGTTGGATATAATCTACGGTTACCTGGGCCCAGTCACCTGTGGATACATCTATAGACTGCCGCCCTTATATACCAAAAAAAAGGAGAAAAGAGGGTGGGAATGCCTGTGATTGAGTGCGTGCGTTTTCTGGGTCGGGCAAAATGATATTTCGTTGCTTGCAGGTGTGCTGTTTTCTGCATGTCAGAGTGGCAGAAACTTTAGTGTTGGATATATGGTGGATTGAAAGTTGGAAGAGTGTCACATGCCTGCAAGGTTGCCTCCTCTTCGATGCTTGTCGGCGGCGTGCTGCACTTGTAGGCGTGCCAAAAATAGCAGAGGACGGACAGGTGGCTGTGCTTCTGGGATAAATCACTTTCTGTGAGCTCGTGAATGTGCGCAGCTGTGCAGTTTGATGACGATTCTTACTTCTTTCTGTGCTGCCTTCTTGTTTTTTTTTTTTTCTGTTCTCTTGTTGTGTTTATTTTCCTGTTGATTGATCACAGGTGAAATTCTATACATTGATTGGCCATTGATGCGACTCCCTAAGTAGATAGATATAAGCCACAGAAAGAGCAAAAGTGATTGATAGATCGCTGGAGAGAGAGAGAGAGAGAGAGAGAGAGAGAGAGAGAGAGAGAGAGAGAGAGAGAGAGAGAGAGAGAGAGAGAGAGAGAGAGAGAGAGAG